CCATTAGTATGTTTATACTAATTCACGTTATACACCATTTTAATAAGTCCAGAGTAATTGAGTTCTCCGCAGTTGACGTCAAATTTATTCTTTTGAAATTTTTAYAATACAAAAGGAATTCAAAAGAATRAATTTGACATCAAGTGCGGAGAACACAATACCTCGGGACTTATTAAAAAGGGTGTATAGACTTGACCGATCAAGATGACCGGCCAAAATGAAGTTTGACCGGACAAGTTCGAATTTTGGCCGGTCATTGTCTTTTGACCGGCCGTTATTTTGAGCCCTGCTAGTACAATGTATCAAACACCATGATTAGACCCATTTCTTATTAATTTGAATATATTTTGCCTTTTGAGTTGAGTGTAAATTTAGGTTGAGCTTACATGTGTTAATATCCTATAATAAGGACACTGACCTTTAGCTGTCCAACAGTGAATACTAAGACACCATTGTTTGGTGATGGTTGGACATCAGTAGTAGTAATAACATGGGCTACTGTCTGGAAAGGTAATGACTGAAAAAAACAATATGCAGAAAAATATATCAATTGCAATTGCACTCAAATAAACATTGCTGTTTAAACTTAAACTTATGTTACGACAGATGATTTTCTTTACGATACTCTTCCTCAAKCCATTTTCAGTACATAGTTTGAATTGACAGGCATGTTTGTGTGAAAACAAAAAATCAAAATTATACAGCATTTTTCCCCCCATAATATGTGGAGAAAAGGGTAAATTATGCAGAAAATTTTGTGGCATGAGATCATCACAAGAAAGTAAAATCTGGGAAATTTTACAAATTTTTATGTTGTTGTGTTGTTTTTCAAGGTGTCACTACTTTTTTCCAGTCATTCACTGGAGTAAAACAAGGCTGTAATCTTATCCCATCTCTTTTTAATATTTTCATCAACGATATACCTAGTCTGTTGTCTAATTCATGTGATCCGGTTAAACTTGGGGATTCCAAAATGCTGCCTTTTATATACTGATGACTTAGTACTTTTATCGGAAAGTGAGTCGGGTTTACAGAATAGTCTAATAAAACTAGAATCATACTGCAAAAAGTGGAAATTAAATGTGAATTTGAAAAAGACTAAAATTTTAGTTTTTTAATGTGATGAATAGAATTCTATCTCGCCCATTCCCTGATGATGCTGTAGTCAGCGAAAGCTCGGAATCATATTTTTGTTGTAAACTCGATCTACACACTTAGCGGCTCCGGCTACATTTTGTATTTTCATATCACATCACTCAACTATGCTGCTAAAGGATAACTTTCAACGTTTAGTTTTTTACTCGCCGGTGCAAAAACGTTTACATCAAACCTCATGTTGGTTTTTTAATGGTCAAAGTTTAGATATTGTTGAAGAATATACTTACTTAGGTCTAACTTTTCACTATAATGGCAATTTTAATTTAGCGATTAAGTCTTAGCCTAATGAGTAATCTTTCTAATATATCGTTAACGTTTGTATCCTATATATCAATTTGATATTTTGAGGATTAAAGTTATTATTATTGTATAGTTTAAAACACGAGAGAGAGTGTTTTATCGGGTATAAAGATTCGTGCCGAAGGCGAGAATAATCTTTATACCTGATGAAACACCATCTCAAGTGTTTTAAACGGCTTCAAAAACTCCAACACTAATTTGAAACTCAAATCCGTTAAAATTCTTGGAGAAATTGCCGTAAAAATAAATTTTGAGATAAATGGGGCAAACTGATCATGCGAGAATCACTTTRCAAAGCACTCTTGTCATCCCACATTGAATACACATAAAGAAAAATACAACCACTGTTGGCTGTTTACTGCATTCGCTCGGCACCGTGCATTGGTCAATCATCAGGTATCAAACCTGAGACCTTTGCTAGGGTCATGGACCTTTATATCTGATAAAACACTCCTTATTAGTATTCTTTATAYAAAGAATACTAATAAGGGTGACCTTTATCAGATATAAAGGTCCATGCATGTGACCAAATAGGCTCATTCTATTGACCTAATAACTCATTAATTATGTATGAGTTTTTGAAGTACTGTAAAACTACGGTTTTATCTTTAGTGACAAAATATCCAAGGCAGTACCAACCGAAGGAAAGAAAGAAAAAATTAAAAAAAAAAAAACATCAGTAGAAGGCAAGTCATCTTTGAAAATGGTATAAAATGGAAAAAAAAATCATGAACTATGGAGGATTATGCGCGACTTGGTAAATTATGTGACTGGGAGCAATTATGCGCGTCCTCATTCATGCATAATTTCAACATGCCTGAATTGATGATCAGTTGAAGGCTTAATTTCAGAGAAGAATTGCATGAAAAATTGTTCAGTGTAGTGAAGGTCAGGAATTGAAGGGCTGTATTGAAAAATAAAAGGTCCTTTGTTTGTATATACAATTAATCTGAATAAGACATCAGCAAAATAATATAGTTTCTACTTTTTATATTGAAGTGGATGCTTATAGCCACTTTCTCTGTAAAAATTTCCCATAATGCACCTTTATTTGTATTATATATAGATATTAACGATAACAGAATTTTTGTTAAACACTGTATACAAATCAAAGACCATTTGATATTTAGAGAAAATTAAAAAATTGATGAGTTTATGTAATAATACTTTTGAAGTGAATATAYACTCATCCATGCAAAAAACGTTTCTGTATAGCCACATGAGCGAGAAGATATAAGACTTAGTCCAAAGTAAATGTCATTTAGATTGCTAGTAAGCTTAAACAAGCTTAAGTGCTCTGACATTTCGTCTTCGTTTGCTATACTTTTAAGTTAGACAAACGAAAAGAAAGGAATAAGCACGAGTTTGTTAGCTACATGTATCTATTTCACTTACACATGTATGTCTTTCACTTACATATCCTTCTGACAGCTCAAAGACTAAATGTGTATTTTGCACGTGCAACAGCACGGGAATTTGACGTCAAAGGTGAATTCCAAACCAAATGGGTAAGAAATCAAAGCCTTTGATGACAGTTGCAATAGCTTACCGTAAGCTTTGTTATAATTGCATCAACGCCTTGAAATTGATCTCCTTCAAACGTTAGCATTGAGAATGGACGCTGTTATGAAARAGGAAACATCAGATTACACCCACCATCATGTCAAAATRACAATGCTAAATGCTTACATATAATTCTTTTAGGTATGCTCGATTCGTGTCAAATCTCGAATAGTATTCGTTGACAAATTGCTTTCCAATACTTTCAAAGTTTGGATTCATTTTTGTAATCTAAGATAAATATTTATAGCTGATTTAGATCCAATAGCGATTCGCGTCCCCTCAAAATGGACGAACTCTTCACTAGGGTCCAGGCCACTTTCGACTTTTCAGCATTTGAGACTAGGACGAGACAGAAAATGATTTCGCTTTATCTTTTTTGTAGAGCTTGGATGATAAAGAGTAAGGTGRCTTTCATTCCATAATCTAAAAGTGATTCTAATTCTACAATTATTTTTATGTTAGAGACAAATGAAAGCCAAATCGATCAAATTCGTCCCGGCACCGATCACATCCCGATGGAAATTCCGAAGTTCMTCCGAGCTTAACTCTTATCTGAAAATCGGACAAAATTGTTCTTTAAAATAGTCTTTACGATATGATAATAAAGATAGTTCATATATACACATTCTTTGTGCTTAATATATTAAAACTATCAATAATTTGTGAAAACATGCAGTAATTTATTACATTTTACGAGTGAAGCCGAAGAAAGCATTGACGGCTGKTATGAAAGATCGTGGGCTCCACTTCATACACAGCTGCATGATATAAGTAGAATGCCTTGAAAAGRAAAGGTTTATAGTCCCATAATGTCTGTGGCATTCACTCAAGAAGGACGGTCAAATCCAAATACTCAATCCGTACAAGCGGTAAGTCAGGTTATGCTATATTCCAAGAAGAAAGGAAATAATTTACTCTGAAAAACGCTTTCTTGGTCAACGTGTTTTCTAACTACAAAGCTTAACTTAATTTATAAATTAATTTTCTAACCAAAGGTTGAAAGAAAACCTTAAATTTATAATAYATCAGGTTATTGCTTTTTCTAATGTCTGATGGGATAATACAGCAAGTTGTGTCATTGTTTTCATGGGCATATATAATACTTCTTTWAWWRRARKWAWKSCCCSGGGGAGGGAGGGGGGGACTCCCTAATATCAAAGGGCGGGGGTCCTCGACGTCCTTTTTAAGGTATGAAATCGGTAATTTGGTCCCGCTTAGGGTGATAATGACGAGAATTCCCTCCAACTGAGTTTTGTGGTYCCTTTTAGGGTATTAATTAGTAGTAATTAGTATGGGTTAGTAGTAAGGCCTAGCCACAGACACCGGGAATCATTCCCTACTCTTATGCGAACAGTGGTGTGGGTTCTTTAACTTCCCTCTAATACAGGTTAGTGAGTTTWTAGTGCACCACTGTGCATGCTTTAGTATAGCCCCCCATTCTTCCAGGTATTTTAGGCCACATCTTCCAGTCTTCTGAAAAAGGACCCAATTACATGTATATTTAGCATTTTTTCCATAAGTTACCCAACAGTTCCACAACTATACATAATAAATCAAGGGACTTGATTACCACAGGAAGCCCAAACTCTCTTACATTGTATGGTAGTTACGATATTATGTGGGGTTGGCAGCTATGACTTAACCAGGCTCTCATAAGTTTCCATTGAGGTTACAAGGTTAATTTTCTACAGAACCAAATTTATGGGACCAAAATCTCTCCCCATCCAATCAAGGGCAAACCATTGATAAATGCATCAAACTTACACTGCAAGCTGATAGTTGGGATTCATTTGAATTATTGGTTGTAAAGTTACATGTATAACAAAATATGGACATATAAGTGGGCATCAAATTTAAATATTTTCTCTCTCTCTACAGCTTCTAGACGAAAACTCGCAGCTAATTCAGGTATTCAGGCTTTGCTAGCTATTGATTAAGTATGATTCAAATTTGATTGATAGGCATTCATGAAATATCATTAAAATTGTAGGCCATTGTGGACTATCAAAACAAAGGAAAAGCATATGAGTCAACAAGGTATGAGTTAGCAGGAACAAAATGTTAGTTAAGTTGATTTGTGCTTAAATGTGGATATTATTCTGTATTCATAAGATACCAACAGTTGCTCCATCGAAACCTAGTATACTTGGCAACGTTAGCTGATTCTAGCCAGCCCAACCAAGGCTCACAGGTATACAGATTGTGCCAATTATTGGGCTTGATTTTTCATACCAACATTTATCAATAAACAATTAACTTGTTAATATGAYGAGCAATATTATTAGACCCCGATTCATCAGTTAGGGATGGCACATGTACAAGATACCCACTGACCAGAAAAAAACGCTCCAAGTTAACTTGAATTAAGAACAAGATATCAGTAATTAATAATTGGATGAATGGAATAATTGATAGATACATGTAATACCAATGGCACAATTTTACACAATGTTTTTGATTCAGAGCGCTAGTCAAGGGGCAAAGCCTTTGAATTCTGTCTCGCCACCTGTCCACAATCAAGGACCACCCCCACCAGTACCAGGCCCAATGATGCCAGACACATCAAACATGTCAAATAATGATCCAATGGCATCATCTTCCCAAAACTACCCAGGCCTGGGCTCACAAGGTGGTAGTAACTATGGTAACTTACCAGGAACTCCATCACCACCACAACTACARCACCCACCAGTCTCTGGTTCAAATGTTGGTATGGGTTACCAATCACCTAGCAGTCAGGTTCGTTCACAAGGGCCAGCTGGGATGGTTGGCAGTATGCAGAGTATGAACCAGCAGTCCCAGATGCCGAGGCATTCATCTCARATGCCTCAACACATGATGTCACAAGGTCAACAAAATCAGCAATTTCTGCTACAGCAACAGCAACGCCAAATGCAATATCGACAAACACCTCCTCAGCAGGTACAAAACCTGTATACTACAAGCTAGAATTTAATATTGATAGATAGTATTGGTTTGTAGTATTATGATTCTCATTGATGATTCATGGAATCACTGGGATAGACCCTTGTTAGTAATGTCTTTGACTTCATGGCAAAGCAAACTCAGCCTGAGTGAGTCTTATCCCATGGTGTCATGTAAAATATTATTGATGTTAACTTAAGTGCATGCCAGTGTTGATTAATCTTCAAAGTCGAACTTTATTTCTTCCGATAACATTTCCTACATTGTATTTAAGCTAAAATAAAATGATGAAATAGGGCATTTAATTTAGAATTAGAAATCTAAATGTCAAATAGATCACAAACCCTTTGACATATGACCTGGGCCTAAAAGTGAAAAGTAGCTTGAGGTTTTGAGGCAATGGACTTGGTAATTCTTTAATTTATTTGATTGGCTTAGAATAAGAGATAATGATTTTTCAAGAATTGGCTTCTAGAACTGTTTATCTTAATTATCTCTTTTACAATGTTTATGTTGGTTAAACGTTTGGCTGATACATGTGAGAGGCTTATTCGTTTGGTTGCTATTACATCACAGGGCAATCCACAACAGCAACCAATGTCAGGACCAACTCCAAACACCTACAGCCAACAACAATCTAGCAACATGATCCCTGGTTACCAACAGCAACAGCAACAAAGATACAACCCTTATAGACCACAACCACAACCACAACAGCAAACACTATCACACATGCCATACCCACAGCAACAGAATCAAATGGTCATGGGGCAGGCACCTATGTCAAGAGGTGGTCAGATGCCAATGGGACAGTCAGGGTTGGGTGCTGGGATTGGACAGACAGTTCACTCWCCAATGGGACAGCCACCTGTGTGATTTTAGATCTTTGCTTCATACACTGTAGACAAATAGACAACAAGTAAAGGCTGTCCATACCTAAGAAATATGTATTGAAAAGTAACTACAGAATATGGATACACCTACAAGCAAAACAGTTGTMATTGTAGATAAGTACAGTAAATGTTTGTGATATATAAAAATATGGAGAATAATACATGGCCATGCAGAGTTACAAATTTTCCAGTGTTCATTTGATACCTCATGAGTGAGCCCAGAAAGCAAGTGAGAACATGATAAGATAAAAATTCTTTATGATTCAATGTTCTATTTGTTATATCTTAGATATTGATAAATCTAAAAAGGAAAAGATCATAAATTCTCTGGGAAAATAGGCAACCAGGTTTCTGTTACTATGTCCAAAGCATTATCTTCACATGTGAAAGATAAGATATCTTCCACATAACAAGTTTTCAACAGTAGAGAAATCCTGGTGTTTCATTGATATCTATATAATAAAKAGTATCTACACTTTATCCATTAATAGACTACTTTAATTGAAGTATTTCAAATAACATCTAAAGTTCCCCTTTTCTAGCTACCCCTTTGCAGATGCACAGTGCTACTAAGATGYTTTAATCCTAGTCTGTAATTTATTTAAATGTACAATATTTATTTTCCTGTGACATAACCTTTTTATGTAGGTGCAGTTGAAGAGTGTAGATGAATAGATGTATATTATGTAAGATATAGAGTAAAAAAGCTAGAAAAA